CACACACACACACACACACACACACACACACACACAGATACACACACATATTTAGAAAATTATAAGTGAGGAGATTCTTTTTAGATTCCAGAGAAAACATTGTTTGGAAATCTTGGCGTTTTCCAAAGGTCAGGGTAGATTTTCTGGTTTGGCAGTAATATCAGAGCAGAAACTCGACTCGGCCACCACATTCTTCCTTTCGTCTTGACTGACATGAAACAGAATAGAATAATCCTCGACAGTATGTTTAGCATCTCTTATTCCTCCTAAGTGAGAAAATTCCTTTCAGTTTACATTACACAATCAAATGTTCTCTTTCTGTTTCTTTCACCCGTCTTTAATGCTCTATGATATTAACACCGGGTCAAATATTTGAATGAATGGATTTCGATGCATCTTGCTCATGATTACATGCTGATATATTTTGTATCTTTGGAACCTCTGCTTCAATTTTGTGGCTTTGAACAATGTTTGGCTGAACATCGTACTTGAAACTCTACTTTCTGACCGTTCAGTGACTCGGGGAGGTTCACGGAGCATCCAGGGTTCTTTACCCTTCTGTGTGTTGCTTTCTTGCTTAGAAAGAAAAGTTAGCGTTTGAAGAATTGCTAGATTAACACTTCATTTATTAAACTATTAATTAAAACAAGGGATTCAACCCAGAAGATCTGATGACAGTAGTCAGAGCCTGCATTTGGATATTCTGTATTTTCTAACAGTCAACAAATTCTGTGAAAAACCCAAATATCAAGAAACCTGACTGAGCCACACATCAACACATTTCTACAATATTATCTTTTAGGTTAAAGCAACATCACAGTCCCCAACACATTCACCGTTTATTGCAGTTTTACTATCGTTTGCTTAAATCAACAGCTCATGTTGTCTTCAATGATTGAAGCTTTCAAAGAAAAGAAACTGACCTATTTTTTAATATACGCGTCTGAAATAAGAACGAATAGTTTGGGGGCTGAGTGCCACAGATTATTGGGGAAGCCAGATTGTAACACTTTGCTGGTTTGGTTTTTCTCAAGGATTCATGGACGATTTCCAGTTCAGAAACACTCCTGCTCCCAGGAGCTTTATAATAGCACAGCGATATGATCGGGGTATAGTGGGGATTTTCTCTCAATGTCAGTAAGAAAATGTTTCCCACATGTTGAACTATTCCATTTTGTAATTGTTTTCTTTAATCATGATCTCTCCTCATTCAGTCACGCTACTCAGAGCGAATGAACTTATCCTCGAACACAAACTCTCGACCGTGCAGAGACACAGCAGAAGTTTCCGTTACAGGTGAAGACACGAAGCAAATGTATCCAAGCAGCAAAAAGAGAAGAAGAGATCAACCGTTAATATTTTGGTTTAGTTTATAAAAGAAGATTCTGTAAACAAAAATTGTATATAAGAACAATTTTGAGATATTTTTAGGCTACTTTTTTTTACTTGAGTTGATATTTTATCTCCATTTTTTACTTGGATAACTTTAGTTACTAGTTACTTTTCAGATTAAGATTAATAATAAAGACTTAACTGATCCAAGGAGATGATGATTTAAAAAAATGAAATATAACTTAACAAGTTAGAATACACTAAACCTCCCACCAGTATTTAAAGTAGGTACAATTGAATATACCTTTATGTTAAATGGGCCTCTCTGAATAATGAATAGTTTTAGTACTTTAATGCAGGACTTGTGCTTGTACAGAGTGTTTTTAAACTGTGGTGTTGTTACTTTTACTTAAAGATCTGAATAAAGGATCATGTTGTTACTGCATCCGTGTGCTGAACAGGTTCTTTTGACAGATCAAATTCTAGTTTTACTGTCACGCATTCTTTCCACAGTCCAGTTCACGGAAATGTTTGAGGATGGACAGAAAGAGTGAGCGTCCGGGTTCAGTGTTCCTCAGTTTGTTTTTCCTCTCTGGCCTCAAAACTGTTCACTCCACCTCTGCTTTTGTCCAAAAATGTGAGTCGCAGTCCCGCGGGACAGAAGCATCTCTCTCTTTCTCTGTGAAAACGTTCAGACTTTCCACTCGACAACATAAAAATGAAGGAGTGTCTGACCACATATCTGGGCTTGTTATGAATCACTCACTCGGCCTTCAAGTGACTCAACCCTCAGTCATGGCTACAGAATAGTTTCTGTGGGTCGGGGGAGAAGTTTGCCTCATTAAAACTCTAAACTCTCTAAAGTTCCAGTGAATTGAAAGCACTCACCATTTCTCTTCTCATGTAGTTCCCGGAGAAAACTCATCTGAGGCCAACGACAGCACGACTTGTGACATCCTACTGTAAAATAAAGAATCCGTCAGCTGAACCTCCAGCATCATGAACAGTTAAAGTTCTTCACTGTGACACATCTTACAGATTTTCATCTTTGTGAGAATGTTTCTATTACATAACATACTCAGGAACGCACCAGCTATGAAATGAAATATGAGCACATGCACCAGACTTGACTTTCTGCTCCTTTCACGGTCAATAAGAGTTAACTACAGGACACAAACCCACATTTCTATTCGCTGTTACAGTAAAACTAAGAGGTTCTTAGTGTCAGTTAGTTTGTGTAACTCACCTCAGTCCGCTGCTGAAGAGATGATATTCCTAATGCGTCAGACTGAGACTGGGATGGGGAGGAAAAAAAATCCCACATCACATCCAGCTGACGTCAGGATGGAGGAAGTATGCCACAGAGGAAGTTGTAAAGTCCCAGTCTGGGATACGGTCGGATTTAAAGCTTCTAAACCGAGAAGACCAGAAACAACCAGGATCCCACAGATAGTCTGTTGTTCTATTTGAATTATGTTACACCCATAGAGGACCAGCTTCATATTATTCTGTAATAAAATGTTGTGTGTTCCTGTTCATGGTCACAACACAGCCATAGGTATATTGTAAAACCATATTCTGTAGATTCATCTATGGAAGATACATTTACCAGAATAACAGGGTTAAACTACTTTTTACTAATTTATCTACCAGTAAAGTTATCAAGCAGTCTAATCCTAAAAATCAACATCTTCCCCAGATTTT